TACATATATATATATAGATATATATATATTGCATCTCCCTGGGATGGTGTGCTTGTTTTGCAGTGCTCAGTAATGTAAATCTAACATTGGGAGCTTACTGTCAGATTCAGGGAGCACAGTAAGCACGGACATGACCTCATGAGTATGGTAAGGTTTCCTTGTCTAGTCAGCGCTGGAGGATCGGAGCGGGGAGGGGGGAATCCAGTCCCTCGCCTGTCACGGCTCTCTGCCGTGACAGGATCAAGAAGTGAGCGAACGCCGGTATGTGTTCGCTCACTTCCCGATCTACTGAGCCGACCTGTGACAGTTTCATTGTCACAGGTCGGCTAGAACTATGAGGATGAGTGAAAAGCACTCACCTCATAGTTCTCCTTTAAGCTCAAACTGATCTCAATACCCAAGTACACTGACCCTTAGAAATCTTTTGGCATATGTGCATTTTAACTTTGCAGTTAGCGTTTTACCTGGAGTTAAGCTTTAGTAATTGGCTAAGTTTTAGGTTGAACTCGATGGACATATGTCTTTTTTCAACCTGACTAACTATGTAACTATGCAATCTCAGCATTTCATAGCAGATAAAGGCTAGATATTAGGAAAACTGGAAATTTCAGGCGCTGCTTCTTCCCTTTATGTGTGCAAGAAACTACATTCATTTTTATGTAAAAGTTGTCAACTGCTGGGACCAAAAGTAGATTGCATTTCAATTTAAATTAATGGAGATTTGTAATTTGACATAATAGATATCAATAACTTTCTACACAACTGAGACAAAAAAGGACGCAAACTATAAAAGGAAGAGGAAAATATATTTTGTGGTTATTTTTGCTCTGTACATTAGGTTTAAATGCATTGCCCTTTGAATATGTTGTGAAGTATATTTATAACCTGTGAATTAAACTCAAGGAGTTGTATGTGAAATTCAGATCTCTACCACGCAGGCAGGGGTACACTGGGGCCACTCTGCACATCATCTTGTCTGAGCTATGACAAGGTATCCACCTAAACTTCCCATCTCTAATTAAATCTACAGAGCATGTAACACGTTTTCCTAATTCCCTCCCCCAGAACAGTACCAGTATTAATCCTCTGCTTTCAGACAGGTGCCATAACATGGGAGGGACATACAAAAAATTACCAGTAGCTTTACACAGCATTTTTTAGATGGCAAGAGTCCATTTTTTATGAAATGTTGTCTTTTCATTAATCATTATTCATCCCATTTTTAAATATATTCTCTATCTTTTTTTTTTAGTTGGAGATGGTTTTTTTGTTGCACATACTATCATTAACACTGCTTTAGCTTATGTGAGCGAGCAGTTTGAATTGAATATGTTTGGGTGGGTTGGGGGTATCAAGTCTGGAGCAGAGGATACAGCATTGAAGCCCTGGGGCCCAGGTGGCTACAACACTGTTCGTAATATGGTATCATAGTGCTGTTGGAGAAAGAGAGCTTTTGTTCTTGGCCTTCCTGCATATTTTTTTTTACATATTTTTGAAGTGCAGAAATGTCAAATAATAGTTGTTTGAACATGTTAAAAATTTTAAAATAAAACCATAACTACTTAGTTGGCTGTTGAAACAAATTCTTTTTAAGCTTCCTGAGTAGTTTTGATAACTGTTTACAATAATTTATATCAGAAATAGCAGTGTGCGGGGGACATGGTGCAAACCAAGTTCGCGCAAAACTTTCACTGACATGCTCCCCTCCTGGTCCAATCAGTTATGGTCGGGGCATTCCCTGGCCCACAGCTACACGTCACAAACGGGTGGGCAATGCCCCTGATTGGGCCAGGAGGGTGATGTCCAACTCTGGTGAACATGGTTTGGCAACAAGCCCCCGCACATCCCTTTGGAGTCAAGGGTCAAATTTTCAGACTGATTATTATGTAGCTTTGCTAAAATGTATCTAGCATATTTGGCTGAAGATAACAAGACTTAACGCGGTATCAGGTGGAAGGCTATACTTCCTGGAGCATGGATTGTATGTAGTTTGCTCTAGATTATTGGTAAAGATTTGCATAGTATAGTAAAACTTCAGTTGGCTATCTATTAAAGCAAGGTCATTGCAGGTATGCTTACTTTCACTTTTGTTTCTGTAAAATTGAGTTGACTTCCAAGTGACTTTTAAATGCATTCTCTACACTTTGTTGTCATGAATAGCTAGAGTTCTTCTTTTGAAGATTACCAGAACCCTTTTCCTCATCTTGTTGCCTGGTACTCAAGTGCCTGTAAAGACAAGCTGTCCTCAAGTATCAGTGGTTCTGAATGGTTCCTGTATGTTCTAAAGGGTGGGTGAAACTTGAATCAAATGGGATTTTGCAGCTGTTTATCTCTCCTGTGGTTGTATGTGAATTGTGAGAAATGGAAAACAGTTATGTGGTTGCTTAGCCAGTTAGGTGCTTCCAAGACACTTAAACTGGTACTGTCAATGTGATCATTTCTGTCTGTGGTACCATGTTTTCCTAGAATCCTTTTTCCTATGTAATGCAGACATTATTTTTGTTGAAAGGACTATTAAGCCAGCAGCAGGAGTTCAGAAGGCCAAAGCCTGTCCTCTCATGTAGGGTATTGCCAAGATAGACTGCTTTATTAGTTTCTGTGTGGTCTTCTCCAAACACCCACCAGTTAGAGCTGTGCATAATTTGGTTATATTGTAATTATAGAGAACAGATGCTTGCCACCTGTGTATTGTGTATGCTGGTTAGCATAAACCTATGACTTCATTATATATAACTTTTGTACAGTGTGTGCATGTTATAATTACTCAACTAAACATATATTAAATAGTGTCTAATATTTCTAGAAATGTCGTCAGTATTCGGAGAGATTGCAAGTGTGTAAGATTCTTCGAAAAATCCAAGTATCACTAATTTATGGGTAATTGTAGTCCCTTTTTTTTACAATAAACTATGTTGGTTTTAGTTTCACTTTGTTTGTTTATATTTATTATCCTTTTTTTTCTGGCAATTAGAGGACACAGGAGGCTAGTAATTCTTAGGCATTTGGGTTATACTGCTGCCTCTAGCAAGTTTAGACACTTTCAAACAAAAAAGTTAGACAAGCTCCTATATAACCCCACCTCAGACTGTTATGCCTCAGTGTCCTAGAAGGCTGGACACATTTTCATCAGCTCTGCTGAGGAAAACTCTAACTGTATTTTTGACTGATTTTTCTCTTCATTCACGATTCTGATACACCGTGAATATTTTCTGTTCAGTAACTTTAATTAGGGCTTTAACTCCACTGCCTATTTCAACTCTTCAGATTGGGGTGTCATCAGAAACCGCTTTGGAGAATGTAGGTAAACCCCACTGGATTAAAGATTTGCAGGGCTAGCCTGTTTCTGCTTTTTGGCACTTGCCAGGTCTTTGTATTTTTGTGTTAGCCGCAGAGCATTTTCCAGTTTTAGAGCTGTGGCATGGACTCTTCTATGACCCAGTGTTTGCAGAGCTACTTGGCAAGTAAGGCCACCCAGCCACTACTTTTTTGGTATTCCAGATCACTCGGCCCTGTAGAGCAGTCGGATTTGCCTAAAATGTGACCTTCGGGCACTGGGCTTAGTTTCTTTGTTTGTGAGATTTCCCATACTTGATTTACTGTGTTAGTTGCAAAGCACTTTCCAGTTTTAGAACCGTTACACAGCATCAAGTGTGACCTAGTCTCTAAGAACTCATGCTGTGAGTTGGACAGAAGCACCTGGAGCTACCTCACAGTTGGCATAGTTACGCAATTTTTACATTTCCCCATCATCACCTTGGCATGGGGACATTTAAGACAGGGAACTGAGTGCTTGATGTAATCTGCTACTAGAGTGTGTGTGTATTCTGCATTCCTTTTTCTGCCTTTCAGGGGACAAAGAATCTTCCTGTTGCAGCTTCTGCTTCTTTGATACCTTGTGAATCATCCAGTCTCCAGGTCTGTTCCACTGCCTAATCACAGTGGTCACTTTTTGGCTGCCTGCGATCGTCATCAGCACCAGCTGCTTAGGTGTGTGTGTGTGTGTGTGTATGCAGGGATTGATCTCACTTTTGGCGTAGACATTCTGCTAGGTGGTGCAACATGTCTTTACATAGACTAACAGAGGACATTTCAGCTGCAATGAGCTTACTCATCTGTTATTGATAGGGGCAATCTCCTAGTTTTCATAGAATGAAAACCGAATCCAGCAATATATATCCTGGGACCCCTATTGCTATAGGTTTGTTCTTTGCAAAGTCTTACACAGTTCTGCACGTCCACAAGACCTTTAATATCCACTTTGGATTATTTTTGTATCTGTCTGTGCACAATTAATGCTGCAATTTACTCACAGCAGGTGTTCCAAGCGCTCTCTGGTGCTTTCCACAGCAGGAACCCATTCTGATCCTAGTGGTCTTCCACCTCCAAGTGTGCCTGACGCCCCTGCTGCTGTCTCTGATTCAGACTCAGAGCCTTTACAGCCTTTTCCTGGAAAGCCTGCATCTCAACAAATTACATACAATTTGTTGAATTCCATGCATTCTTTTTAAGGAATCCTTGGTGCAGTATGTTCTGCCATACAAGAAGAGTTGGCCTGTTGTTCCAGGCATAGGGTGTTTCAGAGCTTTTGCTCCTTCCATGTACACTCTGTATGTAAATTCTTCCTCTACGAGAATTG